GGTAGGAAGATTTAGAGGAACGCACCTAGTCCGGAGTCTATTGTCTGCATGATCATTTCCAAAGTTGAACTGTGTACGTGGTACATTTTCAAACGTTTCGCCGGCATCGTCAGTGAGTATCGCCATTCTTAGCATCATACAACAACTCGTCAAAGAGACAAGTGATGCAAGATCCTTTGACCAATTGTAGTATCTCTCCTTTTCCCTGGGCTATTCACATTTCCTATATCCTCCTATCCCACCTTCACTCTTACAATTTTTACCGTCCTTATTTCGATGTAGCTATTCCACGACATCGCATAACTATTCTTGCATTCAATAAGGGTGTTGCCATAATCCTATTTGGTGGACAAAACGCTTCAGTAGCGGCACATTCGAGACCGGCAGCAACGGATTGCACGATGAAGATAAAAGGATTTTGTCCCAAGCTCCAGCCGGCCACAATGAAGGATTCTGATTTAGGCAAGATGAGGCTATTGTTCGGATTGTTCAAGCTGCTCTAGAAGGCTGAAAATTAATCTTAGCCTTTCTCTTTGATTCTCCCACTCTCCCCTCCATCGGTTACGCTTGGATGTTCCCTGCGTCTTGGCCGACTGGTCAAGAGCCGTCAAGTCCCTTTTTTAATTTGGGTCAAATAGAACTCTGCTTTTTATCGTCACTTTTTCTGTCCATTTTATCTTGACGGATTGAGCAAATTACTCAAATATTCTCTGCTTCAATGACGGCAATACTAACTACTAGGCTAGGAAGCTAGCAACCAGAAAGTACATGTTGCTTGTCCAAGATAGAATTTGGCATGTAGTATGTGATGTTTGACCAACGTCCCATCCGGGATAGTTAAACGAACCTTTTATGGGTCAAATTATTGTAAAACTGTGGTTCTAAAGTTTTCGAACAAAAAGAATTTTTTTGATGTTTTTATTATGTGAAATTTTCTGTTTAGTATGAAAAGTAGACATACCAAAAATGCCAATTGATGGCGAAATTTAATGTATTTCATTACACCTTCTAGTGCAGATGAGGCCTTTGATCAGGCTTTCGGATGCCACGTCATCGTGACTAACTCAGGCAATTTGCAGCACCTTCCGCCAGGAATGTTCAAATCGACATGTGAGGTCAGCATTGAGTGGTTCCCATTCGACTCACAAGTGGGTTGCTCAAAAATACCGTCAAATAAATTTGATTATGAGACGAATAAATAGACAAAATGACTTACACAGGCTAGAAAACTATCATAACCTTTTATGCCCCATCCTGACCTGTCTTGTAATAACTTCATTTCTTAAATTTCCTATCCTCTTTTGGCAGCTTTTTATTTGTTGGGAAGATCTTGAGTTCATAGGAAAGTGAATGAAAAAGAGATTCGGCTGAATCCCGCTGTACTACAGCCATTTAGCTTTAATACGACGTTCATGTTGACGCAGTCCACGAGATATCTTCCCTCGCCCATCATCTGATGGACATCATCGAAGCTGGAACTAATTCTTCTAAGTCTCATGTTAACATTGGGCCAGGCAGACTCTCCGGCTCTATTTTACCTCTTCTAACTACTCATAACTAAAAACGAAAATGAAT